GAGGAAAGGGGAGGGGGAAGGGGAGGGGGAGGGGGAGGGGGACGAGGAGGGGGAGGAGGAGGAGGAGGAGGAGGAGGAGGAGGAGGAGGAAGGGAGGAGGAGCAGAGGAGGAGGCGGAGGCGGTGGCGGAGGCGGAGGCGGAGGGAGGACGGAGGGAGGAGGAGGATGGTGAGGGGGAGGGGGAGGGGGGGGGGAGGGGGGAGGGAGGGGGAGGGGATGGCGGGAGGGGGAGGGGGAGGGGGAGGGGAGGGGGAGGGGGATGGGGGAGGGGGCGGGGGCAAGCTAGGTGCGCTCGCGTCATATCTGTCATCCTACCCCTCCCTCCCATCCCTTACCATGGCGTAGATCTCCTCTCTACTCGCACTGTCGGATGTCGAGCAAGGCAATCATCCCGAAAGGGTACGCGATGTATTGTAGAGCACGGCATGGCATGGCGTAGAAGAGCACCGCAAAGCGTAGTATGTCACAGCATGTCGTGGCGTGGCGTAGTGAAGAATTGCATCACAAAGCTTTGCAACGCAAAGTATGGCATCGCACAGCGGCCCCGAACAGAACATTGTATAGCATGGCGTTGACGATCAAAGCGTATCATGGCATAGCACGACGTGGCACTTGAGCACTGTATATTACAGCTGTAGCTGAAGGCATGGCATCGTGCAGCGGAACGCAACCCAGCATTGCATTGCATGCCGTGGCATGGCACGGGAAATGACGCCAGCGCTGCAGCGGGAACACGATTCGGAACGAGCGGAAGCGCGGAAATGCAGCCAGCGCTGCAGCGGGAGCACGATTCGGAACGAGCGGGAGCACGGAAATTAGGCCAGCGCTGCAGCGGGAACACGATTTGGAACGAGCGGGGCCCGAAAATGAGGCCGGCGCCTCAGCGAGAGCAGCATTTTGAAAACACATGCAGGCGAAAACCCAACTCCGGGGAATCCTGTGTGTAAAAAACAATACGCGGGGGGGGCGGGGGGGGCGAACACTCCCAACCCGTCATCAGGGGAAGGAGGAGAGTAGTATTCAGATTGAGTAATTGTGGAGGCGGAACACTCCCAACCGTATAAGGGGAAGGAGGAGAGGGAGTTAGTATTTTCAGATTGAGTAAGTGTCAGGAGGGGCAGGACCCCACCGCGCGGGCCCCCCCCCGCAGCGCGCGCGACCGACAAGGGCGGGGGCAGGACACGTGGGGAGGGGAGGGGCAGGATGATCGGGAGGGGGAGGGGGGGGGGCGGGAGAGGGGGGGAGAGGAGGAGAAGGGGAGGGGAGGGGGAAGGGGGGGGAGGGGGAGAGGCAAGCTAGGTGCTCTCGCGTCATATCTGACGTCCTACCCCTCCGTCCCATCCCTTACCATGGCGCTGATTTTCTCGGCCCTTAAATCACTTGTTATTTTATGGGCGGGAAAATGGACGAAGATGGCCAAAGCCATTATATTAGCCACGGCTTTGCGTGGTACGCGCCGTGGCAGACGTTCTGCAATTTCTTGTTGTTCTTGCGGGAACGTGCGTCCCAGGACGCTCCCATGTGCTCTGGCGCCTCCGTCGGGGGGCAGCGGTGTCGTCTCGTCGTCGCGTCTGTCTTGTCTGTCGTGTCCGTCCCGTCGGTCTGGTCTGTCTGTCTCGTGGTTGCGTCTCCTGGGCACTGGCTGCCGCAGGCAGTCGACGCCAGGGGAGCGCCGGACACTGCGGGTTTACCCGCGCTCGCGCAAGCCTCGCCGAGGCAGGAGGCGTGCGCCAAGCACTGCGGGTTCACCCGCGCTGCGGCGCTGCCTTGCGCAGGCTTTGGGAGGTGCTCGCGGGTGTCCGGAAGTGTCCGGACGTGTCTAGAGAGAGGGGAAACGACCGTTGGGCGCTGTTGACGTTTCGAGGAAGCGCGCGGGCTTCGGCTTGATCTGGGGCTTGAGTTGGGCAAGGCGTGGGTGAGGCAACCAACAAGGCTCTGCCGATGATCCCCGTTTTTGCCAAGGGCGAGGCAACCAACCAGGCTCTGCCGAAGACCCCTGTGTGTGTGTCAAGGGGGTCCCTGGCCTTGCTGCCAAACCCAAGGCCCGTGCCCTGGCTGGCCTGTGCCTCTCACCAGTGGGTCCCTGGCCTTGCTGCCATACCCCAGGCCCGTGCCCTGGCTGGCCAGCGCCTTCCTCGTCGCCAAATGCTTGTCGCCAACGTGCAGGTTCTCCTGTCAGGCAAGGCGTGGGTGAGGCAACCAACAAGGCTCTGCCAAATAACCCCCGCTTAAGCCAGTGGCGAGGCTGGCTTGTGCCTCTCACCGGTGGGTCCCTGGCCTGGCTGCCACACCCTGCGCTGGCGCCGGTAGTGGCCGCTGTCTTAGTGGGCCCCTGGCTGTTGCCAGGGCCCGTGCCCGCGTTGGCGGGTCCATCTTGCAGTGCGTCCCTGCCTTTGCTGCTATACGCCGTTCGCCCAGGGTCCGTGGCCTGGCTGCCATACCCGGTCCCGTGTCCGCGTCGGCGAGTGCCGTCCTGCAGGGCGCCCGTGGCTTCGTTGCCAAGCCCAGGCCCGCGCCATTGCTGGCCAGGGCTTCCTCGTCGCAAGCGCGTGCTTCTCGTCGCCATGTGCGCTCGCGCTCCTCGTCGCCATCCGGTTTGGCTTGCCGTTTTGTCACTTTGCCCGAAGAGCCCGCGTGGCCCGAGCGGACGGCCGCGGGTCCCTGCCCATTGGGTCCCTGCGAAATCGCGCGCGCCCAGGGCCCCTGGTAGCTGTCCAAACGAACCAGCTGGGAGGAGCTTCCCAATGGGGAACGGGTCCCTGCCCAACGAGGCATGCCCAGGGGATCCCTGCCCAATTGGGCATCCGAGTGCGATTACGCGCTCCCGCTTCCAAACTGGAATTTGGAGGGGTGTATCGCCTTTCTGCGCCCAGATGGGCAAGAGCGCGCTTCCGCGCTCGCGCGCCCAGAGCGGCGCTCCGAGCGCGATTGGCGTCCCCGCCGAAGCGGGTTATTCCGGGTGCGATTTCGCGCTCTTGTGCCCAGACACGGGCAATTTGAGCGCAAAATTGGCATCGCGCGCCCAAGCGGGCATCCTGAGCGCAAATCGCGCGCCCAAGCGGGCCATTCCAGATGCGATTTCGCGTTCCTG